CAAAGACCTAATACTTCAGGGTAAAACATCTATCCATCAGAGTCTACCCCTGTCTCAGTTGCAGAGATCAATTGTGAAATGGCTTTAATTTCCCACATTCCTGAAATGTAAATACTGGTCTGCTCATACTTGTGCTGTAACACTTCTGTGTCTAAACCTGCTGAGTATTTTATGTGGCAGCTTACTCTTAATGTCTGTATTCAATGCAGCTCAAGCAGTCAATTAAACAAAGATATCTAGACGGAATGGAGGTTAACGAACGCATGAGAGGCATCCTGGTTGACTGGCTGGTCCAGGTTAACTCCAGGTTCCAGCTGCTTCAGGAAACCCTATACATGGGTATTGCTATTATGGATCGGTTTCTTCAAGTAAGTTGTCTTGTTAGCAGCTTTTTCTTGGTGGTGTGGGTTACAAGGGACCAGTTAAGAATGTGCAGGCTGATATTGCTGGCCTCATCTGAAATGTTTGCCTGGCTGATGTGATGCAGGGTATTCAGACTCTTCAAGCTGATCTACCTTGGTGTACTAATGCCAGAGCTGGGTCAAACTGTTTCCAGACTATCAGCAACAGTAGCCTATATACACTAAACCTTTCCTTCAAATGTTTGAACATGTGTTCTAGGTTCAGCCTGTTTCCCGTGGCAAACTTCAGCTGGTTGGTGTAACATCACTCTTTGTGGCTTCCAAATATGAAGAGATGTACAGTCCAGAAGTGGCAGACTTTGTTTATATCACAGACAATGCATACACCGCATCCCAAATTAGAGAAATGGAGATGCTAATCCTTCGTGAGCTCAACTTTGACTTGGGACGACCACTCCCCCTTCACTTCCTACGACGTGCATCAAAGTCGTGCAGTGTAAGTTTGCATAAAGCTATTCATTGGTGATGCCACCTGTGCATGTAACTTGGAATGATCTGCTTCTCCTGATGTATGTTTACAAATCAATACAGTAATTCAGCTTTGAATAAACAAATGGGATGGCATACTATTAAATCGCTTGATTATCCTCTTGCCTCCCAAATCACTGATTGTGCTACAAGGTCCACAGCATTGTTTACATTTGCCAGCCTCTTTATCAGACATCCACGCTTACATGGTCTGGCCCCATATGCTTCTGTAAGGCTCCTAAATGAATAGGAGTTGATCAGCCTACCAACCTCAGGTCTATGGGGTTGAATTGCGCAGATCAAGGAGCCAGCGGGGATGTTAAACATGCTGTGTGCTTCTGAGCCAGCTTGGGGGGGGGGGAGGAGATCTGAGGAAGATCTGACTCCGATCACATAGTTACCACTTCAGCATTTGAAGCATATGTCTGTTATAGCTTCAAATGCTGAAGTGTAACGACATCTATTTTCCAGCTTATTGGCTTTGTGTAGTGGTACGTAAGGCATATTTAACCTTACCCTTTTGTCTCAACATGTAGGTTCACTTTATTTTTTGTTTATACAGGCTGATGCAGAGCAGCACACACTAGCAAAGTACTTTATGGAACTTGCCCTTGTTGACTATGAAATGGTTCATTTCCACCCTTCTGGGGTTGCAGCAGCTGCACTCTGCTTAGCCCAAAAGGTCCTTGGAGTTGGCAGCTGGGTAAGAAATGCTACTTTCCTATAGTTCATCAATTTAAAGATCATAATTTTTTGAATAGCTGTATTTGCATCTGTATAGTCTTGAGGGTGGGGAGAAATGCCTGGGGCCCTCTCTGGACCTACAGCTCTAAATTTCCCCATGGCTTCTTTATGTATGGCTACCTGCTGTAAATGTGAGCTGACAACTCTCCATTGCTTTGCTGCATACCAAGCATTTTTGGCAGCTATGCCTGACTTCTTCCCTGCTGGACTAGAACACTCTCACTGTCCACTTCAGGAAGTGAGGAGCTCAGAGTTCTTGTACCAAGATACATGATGATCCTGCCAGAAGTCTTGGCCAAAACACATGGACATGTACTTTATTTCATGTTTAGCACTTCATGCTTTATAGTTCTGTGACTGTTAGTCATAGCTGTTTTTGTTTATTGGATACTTTTATTTTTGACTTATTAGGGGGCTACACAGCACCACTACACTGGCTACACAGAGGAAGATCTGACTCTGATCATGAAACACATGGCTAAAAATGTTATCAAAGTCAACCAAAATCAGACTAAGCATGTGGTAAGTAGCTAGTAAAAACATTGCATTAACTGTTACCAGCGCTTGGCTTCTTAAATGGGCAAGGAACTGGTTACTGTAAGCCTGTAGAGCATTAGTAAAACACTTTCACTTTTTACAGTAGGCACCATAAGCATTCTGTAAGTCTAGACACCCTAACCATACTGGCATGTGACAGGTTTTGAGCCTATCAATTGTCCAACTAGATTGTACAATGAAGTGCCATGTAGGAGTGCTCCATCAGCATGCAAGTATAGTATACTTAAATGCAAGCTTTTTGGTCTTTTTTTTTCTTCTTGCCTCTTCCCTGGGCTATGGGCAGAAATACAAGGTTTTAAAATGGCTGAAGCCACCCTAAAACAGGATATCGGGGCCGGTGTTCAGGAAACGTTTTAGCTTTCTGTAGAAACAGCTAAAGTATCAATCAGCATTTTAAAAAGGCTTAAAACAATTTGGCTTTAAAATCACTAACCTTTTCCTATTCTAGCTAAGTTGGTGACCCTAAACTGAGTCACATTAAATGCTTTAAGATACCTGAACTGTGGCCAAATGTAGCTTATTTGTCATCTGTAGGTCCTCAAATGTCTCTGAATTCATGCTGTCCTGGAGGGAGGCTACTTTCCCCAATCATCTTCCAGGACAGCAACCTGAGAGATGATTGGTTCCACCTTCTACAGGAAACACAATTAGCAAAACAGCTAAAAGCCCCTCCCCTTCCCCTCGTACCTCAGTTTAGATTGTGTTTCCTACCGTCCAGGACCACGTCACGTTTGTTCTTTTTCTTCCTGACCGGTTGGCCTTGAGGTCACGGATCCCCCTCTGTGCGGCTCTGCTGTTGAAGGTGTTTTCCCTCCCTTCTGGCCTTGCTGTAGAGCGGAGGGGTGTTTTTCCCTATGTTGTTTGAAAGGCCAGGATCTGGTTCCTTTCTTCCCTTAAAGGATCCACTCCTGAGGCCCCCAGGCCGGTGGCCCTGTCCTGCTTCCCCCTGCTTGATGTAGGGGAGCTGGTAGTGGGGTTCTGTAGCGGTGTCCGGCATGCTGGAGCGGTGAATCGAGCGGGCAGTGGACTGAGAGGCACTTCCGGTGTGTTCCAAGCCTCGTCTTGGGGCGCATGTCGTCACTTCCGGTCGCGGGTGATTTCTTCGCTTCCGTCGAGGCTTGTTGCCTCACTTCCGCTGCGCGCTCTCTGCTGTGAGGTGTGTTGGACCTGCGGAGCTCGAATACCAGGACAGTCTGTGGGGGAAGAAACCGCTAACGCTGCCCGATGGAGGAGGAAGGCAAGCCAGCGGTGACTGTCCCCAAAGGTAAAGGGGTGAGTGAGGCTGTGCCTGTTTACACTTTTACCAGGGACACTTTGTGACAGTGGGGGTTGTACACTTATCTGCTTTTATTTTACTATGCAGGAGTCATCAGGGAAAGTGTCTCCTCAGGATTCTGTTTCACTGTCTGCCCCAGCTACCAAGTTACTTAAGAAGCGCTGCGGCAGCTGCAATTTGAAGCTTCCCTCGGGTTATTCTAAACCCCTTTGTGACTTATGCCTTCAGAAGTTACTAGCCTCTGAATCCACTAGTTTTATTAAAGGTTTTCTGGATTGTATGAAGACAGAAATGGTGGCTACAGTCCAATCTTTTAAGAGTGCTATGGCTGATATGTTGCCATCCACCTCTAGTGCTCCTATGGGGGCAGGGGCCAATCTTCCTAGTACCTCAGGGGTACAACAGAAACCGCTCTCTTTCACAGAGGATTTGGATAGAGCAGTGTCAGGTTCTGGCTCCGGATCAGAAAGTCCCGGGTCAGATGGTCCCTGTGTTGTAAAGTAGCCTCCACTTCCATAATGGACTACAATATCAATACATTTTGATAAACTAAGATTGTAGTCCATGGGAGCAAGCTTGAAACTACATCTAATTTACAACACCGGGACCATAGGGAACAAAAGTAGCTACCCTCCGGAAGGTTAGTAGCTGCATAAAGTGATGCTCTACAGCCGATAGGCTACATTTTAAAATGTCTGGAATGTGTAACACATGTTAATTTCTTTTTCTAGGCTGTGAGGAATAAGTATGCCAGCAGCAAGCTGATGAAAATAAGCACCATGCCTCAGCTGATGTCTACAGTTATTACCGAACTGGCTGCAAGTTTGACTTTCCAGTAAAACTGTCTTGCAACACTAGGACTACCACTTTTTGCACTTTTATGAAACTGCCAATACTGGCAAAATTGCTGCTGACTCTGTAAATAGTTTTATGACTTTTAGATTCTTATGTGACTGCTGGGACTCCTGAATTAAATAAAATTTCCCTGTTTTTAAAGAAACGTTTGATTCCTTTGTCAGAGCATTGGTTTTGGGTTTAAATACTGGGAGGTGTTTTGGCATTGTGCAAAGTAAAAACTTTTCAAATTATTGCTGTTTGTTGGGGATTCTATTCTGATTTTGCTCGTTGGAATAACCCAGTATTGCCAAATCAATAAAGATCTAATTGCCTTTTCTACAGCAAGCTACTAGTCTATCGACTCTTCCTCCATCTCAGCTGGTGCACATTTGTAAGATTCCATACATTTTTAACAGACTTATTGAGCAACCTGTACTGGCATTTCTTTCGAAGATAAAATGCTTGATTCTTTGTGGTGCCTGCAAGCACCTGTGTAAAATTGTATGTGGAATTTTCTGGATCCTTGACTTGAATTGTCTGGGGGGGGCAGTTGCTGCATATTTCAGTCATGTGTAGTCTAGTCCCTGATGTATGGCAGATCTTTAGTGGGCTGCACAGTGCCATAGAAGGAAATTACTTTGGGAGGGTTAGTCTCATAATGGGGGTGACCTTTAATTTTGAGTTCGGGAAGTTGAGTCTCAGTGTGCAGACTGGGTAAAAATATCTATCGCACCGCAGGTACTTGTGTACTCCAGCCTTTTAGGTTGGCTTCATTTTGGTGAAGTAATATTAGTATTAAGCTGCAGACTCTTGGCGTGGGGTGGACTGGGTTACTGTATCATGCATTACAATAAGATGCTGATATAGCAAGGGATGGGATTGTCCTACAGAGTATTAAGTGAGTATCTAGACCTTTGAGTGGGGGAGGTGGGTGGTTAGGAATGGCATTCAGTTAACTGTTGGAGAACTAGGAGGTGAGTGCTTTTCACTCACCTCATAGTTCTAGCCGACCTGTGACAATGAGACTGTCACAGGTCTGCTCAGTAGATCGAGAAGTGAGCGAACACATACTGGCATTCGCTCACTTCTCAATCTTGTCACAGCTCTCCACCGTGGCTGGACTCCCTGCTCCGATCCTCCAGTGCTGACTGGTGGGAGGGGGTGGGTACAGCTGGCTCTGCCTCTAAATGGACAGAGCCAGCTGTCACTCACGCAGCTGGGCAGATCCAGATAATCGGGATCCGCTACAGCGTCTCAGTATGCCGCGGGCTGTAGCTCACTGTATACTGAGCTTAGGGTGACTGGAGGATGCTGGTTTGTGTCCTCCGTTACCCTAAGAACTATAGGGAAAAGCCCTAACCCCATAGGTCTCCAGTATCAAGTGGCCATACTGTAAATGCACTGTACTCTGTAATGCTGCAATTTAAAGTGTTTCCCTTGCATGGGCAAAACACAATCTCAAAGTAGAGGTGCACTGAAATGTAATTTTGTAACCAAAAAAAATTGCCAGACCAAGCGCATAACTTGGGTCTCGTGGAAATGGACCAGGTCTAGTCTAAACAGACCCCTGATATGTGCCTCTTTGAAATTGAGTGTCGAGTTGCTCTTCTGCAGCCCCTGTTATGAATGAACAGGAAGCCTCTATTCTGAGTGGTTTTCTGTTTGTTCATTAACTCGTGGAGATGGTAAGTATACTAGGTTTACAAGAGTGAATCAACAGGAGGTGATGTAGAGCACTTGCTCTTTTATAATTAGACGGGGTAAACATTTATGTCCTTATTTACAAAGTACGATCAGCTAATCGCTGACTGCTTGTAAGTGCTCTCCAGCTTGACTCGCAGGATGCTGAGCAAGCGGTGCTGGAGCAAAGCTCCTGTGATGGCTCATGGCTGTCTCCGCCCCCTCACTGCTTTCATTCTGATCTGGTGCAGGAGGCAGAGCTCTGCCTCTTGCGACATTGCCCCTCACGGCTCCCCCCCACCGTTCTCCATCCTGATCTGTCATGGGAGGAGAGCACGCCAACACCACTCAGCCTCAACAGTTTGTTGCTGGGAAGTAGTAGAGGAATCACGACTGCACGGTTTGCCAAGTATGGTACCTGTGGGCATTTTGGTCAAAGTACCATTTTTAGACTGAAGTAGGGATGCACTGAAAGTTCATCCCCCCCCAAAACAGAGTAGATGTGGTAGTCAAAGGTGTGCACCCTACAAAACTTGGATCGTTAGAGGGTAATGTGACTTTGCAGTTGCCCCTCCAATCTGGGCCCCCCCTGCTATACTTTTGGGCAAATGCTCCTGCTCTTCTGGTGTACTATCTGTGCCCCATACTGCCATGTAGTCAAGCTCTGTACTTTACTCATTGGTCAGCATGTTTACCTGACCGTGCTGGTCAGCATGTTTACCTGACCGTGCTGATAAGTGAAGGGTTTCTTGCCAAGTGCTTGCTGAAAATGCAAATACACAGCACAGGGCTGTGCTACACAGCAGTACAGGGTATGGGTAGTGTACCAGCAGAGGAAGGAGCATCTGCTCAAAGGCAAGTAGGGTGGGGGGTGGCCAAGATTAAAGGCGGTAATTACATTTTCCCAATTCACCTGGCAAAGTGGGAATTACCCTGTAAATATATACCATAGAAAGAATTTCAGATCTGGTAAAGAAGCACAAACAATCTAAGGCCTGGTTTACACATTCATGTGGTGGGAGCGAGTGTCTAGTTTATGCAAATTTGTTTGCTATACATTCCCTGTTAAATTCAGTGGTTTCAAATACAGCCAAACCCGTGTAGTTGACATGTTTGGGGTTTTGCACAAATGCACATCTTAGCTGCGTTTGAGGGTGACATTTTAGAAGAGAATTGCTTTGCAAGTGCCTTTTGCTGCATTTGTGCGTGTGCAGGAAAACTTGTGTTCACTGAACAATGCAGCTGTGAATGGGGCCTTTATGCTTCCAGATCTTAAGGAGGTTGTAACCTCCTGTGCACTCTGAAATGTTTTTTTCCAAGCAGTATTATCAGTCCTGCCCAGTTCACCTCTGTACTGGACACTGCCTTGTTAGAGATGTGCTCTGTAGTCCTCTCAACCTTGCTGTCCTGGGTTGACAATGCTTTGTAGAGTGAGCACTTTCAACCTATTGTGGGGGAGTGTTACTGGCAGGATCACTAGGTAAAAATAAGAGCCTGAAAGAGTTATACCAGCAAAGTCTTTAGCCAATTAGGGCTTCACAAGGTGCATTGTCTTGTGGGGGCGTTCATCGGTCAAACAGACCGCCGAACGCCCTTATAGTTCGTGTGTTCGGTGGAACACATGAACTAGCGATCAACTCTAACTTCCAGCCCATCCCTAATTGTAATGCTTTCCAGACTTTTATGTACTAGTTAAAGTTAGCTGCAGAGTTCTTTCCGGGTCCATAGCTGTGGCATTGCCTCAGCGTTGACCATATCTCCTGAAGACTCACTCTTGCATTGTTGGGAGGCTTTCAAATTTCCCACTAATTTTTACTGTGGAAAGGGTTAACATCTTAACTTCTAAAAGGGACGAAGTGCTTGGTGAAGTGTAGCGCTCGCTGAGCTCCCTTCCCCACCATTCAGCATTGAGGAAGCACCTCCCCACTGCTGCTCCCACATTGCAAAGAGCCACATGGAACTCTGATCTATGATCCGTTCCTGCTGCATGCCTAAAATGACTGTGTTCACTACCAGCCACCCGACCCTCACTTGCTGCCAGCTATTTGGGTTTTGTGAAGTCCTTGCCTTGCACATTTAAGCCTAGTTGCATCGCTACTATGCAGATGCAATATGTCTGTGGACAAAGGTCCACAGTACCCTCAGCTACTTTGTCATGAGACAGGGAGTTAGCCCCTTCTCCTCCCTCACAGAAGTGCTGGGTTTTGAAGGACCCTCCTTTCAAAGTTGTCTCCCCCTCTCCTATTTTTTCCTGGCCTATTTTAGCCCCCTTCTCTCCTATCGGTCTGGTTTCTATTCAGGCAAACTAGTGTGTCCGGCATGAACTAGGCAATCTCTGGAATGATCCTTAAGCTTTTTCTGGTGACTTCCTGTAACTTTGCAAAGCAAAGTACAGAACCATCCATAGGGCTGCTGGCTCTTTGGAACATTCCTTTCCATTTCTTCCACATCAGGGATCTTAGCTTGGACAGGTTTCCTGGTTCGGATTCCATTTCACACTTTGTAGGTGTTGGTGCGCCTTTACTACTGAGGAGTGTGAGTCCTTCCTGCGACAGAGGAGGTAGTATTGCACTGGACAAGGCTGAGAGTCTCAACCACACTCGCACTGTTCCCTTAAAATGTGACTCCTTTTGTTGTGAAACCCCCCGGGGGCTAGTGCCCAATCCTTCTGTAGGTGGCAGTATAACCCAACAGTATTTGAATTCCTGTGTCCCTCGATGGACACCAAGAAAAGGATTTTAGGGTGTGTACAAAAATCCTATTTAAATAGTCAATGATTCCTGAGAGAAAAGCTGCCTTTAATACAAATAATAAAGAAAGCCATTGTCTGGTTCTCTATAAGGCCACATGTTTGCATGTGCATTGTTGTATGTGTTATATGTAGGGATGAGGTATGGGTTCGGGTTGAGCATAGTTTCATGGCAAATCCAGTTCATAGATACAGAGAACTAATGCAGCCGTTCAACATAGAAGCCAACTACCAGTAATGCACTTTCTGGCCTCTGAAATTAGGCCAGGCGGCTTAGAATGGCCAATGACTGGTCTCTGATAGTAGATGTAAACCCTTCACTGAATGTACAGTACTTTAGATAGCAAAATGCTGTGTATCTTGGCGAATTTGGTAGGGGGGTAAGAAATTATTTTTACATCATTAATGCTGCGGATGTATGTACTTCAGCTTCTTTACAGCTGCCACATGTACCATCTACAACCATAACAGGCTAAATGTATGTTTAAAAGGGTACATTTTCTATTTTTTGCTGGCTGCAATTTATGCTCTTCAGTCTGTCTCTGAGTCCACATGTACAGTATCTCACTACTGGCTGCATGTGTATTTTCACAGGGCATTTCCTAATTGTTGCTGGATTTTTTTTTTAACAGTAATTTTTCTGCTCAGTGTGCATCAGCACAGTTAATTTTTTGGGGGGAACGCATGTAACAGGGTGATTTGTAGGCAGGTGACCGTGTTACAGGGTGACAATCTCCCTGTTTCCCACAAAGTGTTAAAAATTATATTTTAGAGGTTTACGGTTACTTTAGCAAATTATGCTTGCGTTCTTTGAATTTCAGTGTTAGGGTACATGTTCTGCCTGTGTGCACAAATCTGTAAACAAATCATTATAAGGACCAATATCTGTCCAAGGGAGTGCATAGGTGTTTTTCATTTGTCATCACCATTTCTATTAACCCCTTCATGACTGAGGCCCTTTTTTCATTTTTTGCACCCATGTTATATTCCACATTTTAGGCCTGAAAATGACGTAAAACCCCCCAACATTATATATTTTCTGAATGCCAAGACCCTATAGAATAAAATGGTGGTAGTTGAAAATTTTTATGTTGCGCAATATTAGCGCAACTCCTTATTAAACCCCAAAATTTAGTGACAAATTTAATTAAATGCCCCAAAACACAACAAATTACCCATTTTTTAATGAAATATAAAAGATGAGGTTACAACGAGTAAAACGATACCCAACATGCCCAAGAAACCAAAACCATCTCCCATTACATGACTCACATTTACTGCACCCTCTTATCCCCATATAAAAAATAAAATTCAGGTATACACCGGTTAGACCTATTATCCCTTATTAAAACATGTTACTGATGTATTCTCTCCAGTATCTCTATTCTTTCTTTTTTATTAAAACATTAATAATAAAGGTGCACCAAAATGCTAAATTCAAAGCCAAAAAAAAGTCAGGCCGAAACCAAAAATTTTATTTAACATTTTTTTTCAAATATTTTATTCTTATCTATTTTTTATAAACTTTTTAATTTTTTTATATTTTTATTAAATATTTAGCCCCTGTTATCAATGAACAGGAATCCTCTATACCGAGTGCTCTTGTTCATTCATAACATGAGAACATAGTGTATTTACTATAAGCACAATTATGAATGAACAGGAGGTGATGTAGATTACTTCCCATTCATTCATAATTGAGGATATAGAAACCATAATATGTCCTCAATTATGTACAAACACTCAGCGATCACTGAGAACTTGTCAGGAAAAGGAGAGCCAATGCAAACAGTCACAGGAGGCTAAGCGAACGGTGCAGGAGAGCTCAGCCTCCTGTGACAGCGCGGGCTGTCTCTGCCCACACACCGCTCTGCCGATCTGTGACAGGAGGCCGAGCGGTGTGGGAGGAGAGACGCCGGCCGCTCACAGCGCTCTCGTTCCGCAGCGCTCGGCCGGCTGTCACAATTTTTCTCCTCCCCGCTGGGACACAGAGCAGCGCCCAGTGGGAAGGAGAGAATACACGGATGCACCGCTGCATCGGCCAGAAAATGGCACTTTCGGCATTATGCCAAAAGTGCCATTTTTGGCCGATATATCGGTGCATCCCTAATATACAATGATTTATAGACCATTTAGAAAGCAGTTAATTATTCAGTTGCTGCCAAAACACACTTAACAAACAAACAATAATCTGTTTATACAGCTCATTGCATACAGTAATCTGTTTTTATACAGCTCATTGCATAATGTATTTCATTTTCCACAAAAAAAAGGTGATTCCGTCACAAGCAAAATCAGCTGATGTCTGACAAAGATGAAGAGTTTGAGCATGCAAGGGAGTATAATGTCTGCTTTGGCAGAACACATTTATGAGTTTTGATCTGCTTGGCCTCCATGCAATCATAACAAAGTAAGCTAGGCAGAAGACCTTTTGCTTTGCCATCCACATCGATTCTCTTTAGATATGGAGTTTTATTTGGTTTGAGCGCAATACTGTAGTTGCTACCAATGCAGAGCCATAAAAACATAATTTTAGGTATACACGTCTGTGGCAGCAGAACCATGCTGTCCTGCTTTTCATTCAGGAGATATGATTGCTTGTTAGTGTTTCACTTACAACCTTGCTGTCCATGCCTGTTGTGTTTGCTTAAACAGGGAGGGACGGTCATATGAGCCATTATGAACACCTGTTGCCTGATCATTAGGTTTATTTTATAGCTATATTCTCCAATCCATGGTACTTCCTGTGTTCCTGTTTTTTTTTATTTACAGACTTCTGCTTGTATCTGGCTAAGCCTGTTTGCCACCTGCTCTTGCGTGCTCTGCTGAAGATCTGGTGCTCTGCACCCGCATAAGGGCTCACACCCTCTCCAACATGCAGATACCACATAAGATCAACTATCCATTTTTTCTGTGACAAGCTTGTTGCCTCTGCACTTCAGAAACCACCTTTTTAACTGGTGGGATTCCTTGTAGCCATTACCTCTGCTAGTTGTGTGTCAGATGTTGGGCTTCCTTCAGGATGGTGGCAGTGGATCCCCAGATTTTTCCCTTGTATCAGGCAGGAGTAAGGCATCCCCATTGAAGCCTCCCAAACATTTCCTCCACTGCCAGCACCCCAACCTTCTTCCTCCTCGTATTCCTCCTTTGCCTCCTGCTGCCTCATGGCATGCTACATGCTGGCGGAGGGCAGGGATGGCTTTCTTACAAAGTAAGCTGCTGTATGGTCTTTTAACCAAAATAATGACTGGTGTGTAATGTACACTGTGGTGTAGCACGGGCCACAAACTTGTGTAAATAGGGTGTTTGGTAAAGCTCCCATGAAGATGCTGGGCATGGGGGTGATTTAGAGACATTTTTCTCTTTCGCTTCCTTATCGATCATTCACTTGCAGCCTGTGCTTTATGCTTTGTTATACATACAGTATATTTGCATGTAGTAATGCAGTTACCAAAAGAATGAAAGAGCTCATGCAGGTAAAAACAAAAGATATTTATTAAATAGCCTATTAATGGTTTCAGACTGGGCTAGCTTCTGTTAAAGGGTATTTAGGAAATTTGCAATACCGAAGTCATTTCCATCATAAGCAACAGTTAAGGCTATAAAGCTTTAAAAACATGGTGGTAAGTGCATATTTTGTTAAGTACCTGATATAATAGCCCCAAAATTGCATTTAAAACATCAGATTATGTTATACAGTCATGTGTAGTTTTAACATAATTATATACTTTTGTATATATTTATATATATCTATGTACAGTATATGTCATTTGATTTATCCATTTACAGTTTCAGAGATTGAGATGTTTCCTGTAACAGGTAACAGCATTAACATGGGCCAGCCATATTCTCATATAAGACTATGCACCTGTGCAGTGACTATACATTTAATATGCAGTGCCTAGCAGATTTTGCAATCTATCGATATATAGCAACTACATTCTTACTGCATCCCGTTTCAATCAGCATTGCCTTTTCCTATGTCAGTCAGCGATGTGTTAGCAGCATATGAAACTATTTCCTTCACATAGAGAGAGAAACTGTCTTCATCTTCATATAACGTAACATCAGTAAACAAGAAAATTAAGGCACTTGCCATCACAACTCTTTCATATCATTCACTCTTTAGCCAGTCTTGCTACTGTAAAGTCTTGCAACACACTGCTCAGCAATGCATTGTGATCTACTGGGCAGCAAAGTCCAGATATAGGATTAAAGGCAATAAATAGCTTCCAGTTCAGTGCTTTGGTGTCCTTGATTTGGGTGGTGTGTAGCTGAAAGGCTGCTCCTCTGACAGGTGCAGGGCTATCATTTGGTCTGATATTCTCAAATACACATCTTAGGCACTTCAGAGCTACTGGAAGGTGATAAATAGAAAAGGCTGGGATGGTCCGGGTGAAATCTGAAAGTTAGATCTTGGTCACATAATTATTAGGGAAAAGTCCTTGTTTGCCACGTAGGCGGCCTGTCCACCATCCCGAGTGATCTGCAAATTAGAAACAATTCCACCGTTAGTGCTTTATGATGTCATAAATGTAAATCTATACATGGATATAGAATCCTTGGAATCAAGTCAACAATCACGACAATTAGAGCAGATGATAGGATTTTTGTCAAACTGGTAAAATCCTTTTCTTGGAGTACATCCCAGGACACAGGATCAGACACAGGATGACCATGGGTTATATGCTGCTACTTTTATTAGACATTGGCAAGCAAAGCTGTAAGGAAAACCCCAATATAAACCCACTCCCAACAAGCCTCCGTTTTGTAGCAAGCAATTAGGAGTGAATTATAGGAAAACAGAGTGGAGGGACCTGTGTCCCATGATGTACGATTAAGACAGTAGGAATTTTGTTTTATGTGTAAAATCATTTTCTTGGAGTACAGCACAGGACACAGGGTCAGAGTATAAAGTCCAACTGATGGATGGGCTACACAGCAAACAAAACCACATCACTAATAGGTCAAGTGAAGGGCCTTGTAGAAACTTAGAGTGCATCTTGAAACACCTTATGGCTAACAACGACATCAGAAGAGGCCTGAGCATCAATGTGGCAAACATTTAATTGATTTGATTGTGATCGGGACAGATTCTGGAGGTGTATGGGATACTATATTTGCAAAGGATCTATGGGTGAGGCTAGACCTTTGTAATACTGTGAGGTCTAAAAATTTGATGAGTGCCCATTTCCATTATATGCACCTAGCTGGACTACGGTGAACATGCAACTTTACTGGGATCAAGAGGTGAAGATCGCTCATATGAGGATAGGAAAATAAGAGTTTTTAAGTGCTGCATTTTTATGCACTTTGTTTTTTGATGTGGACTGTATATCGTCTATTGTATGCAGGCTGCTATTTGAACTGATAATTAGCGCTAACTTTTTCTCTTTTGTTTACTTCTCTTTACAGGATAAAGTCGCTAACTCAGAGACCAGCCCATACATACATATGTTGGATGGGCTAGCTATGGTTCCGATTTAACAAGTACATTATTAGCCATTTAAGTCATTTTTTAATTGTATGAAGCAACAATTTGGTCATCTCCCAACATCATAGCAGACATGACATGTATACAAGAAATGCAGTGTAAGAGGATTATATGTAGTTTACATCTATGGTATTTACCTTCTTTGATTATATCTATGATGTCATTGGCATTAAAGCTAAGCTCATCTGTATCTTGTGCATCATATGCATACAGGGCCTTGCACTGCGGCACATTTGGTTTTGGTTTAGGCTGAGGTTTAGGCCTTCCTCCTCCTGGAGGGGGGCGGCTTGTTGTCTGTCGGCGTGTACTAAAAAAAGAAGAAAAAAAAGACAGGTGAAGTGACATTTCAGTTCGAACATAAATGGTATTGAACTGCACGAGCACAGTACATTACATCCTCAAGGGACAAGTTTGGAATAGACTGACCAGCAGATGGGGCTGTTTGAACAGCTTTACACATGAATGTACAGACAATTACAACTCTTCCTGTAGCAGATTATATATCTATCTAGTGTCACGGGTCACAATTCACCCAACAAGTACTAACAAGAACTACATGCTTGAAAACATAATGATATATTTATGTTAAATCATAAACTAACTGATATTGAAAGCCAATTTCAGTTGTCAAGAAAAGCCTTGAACAGTAAGAACTATGATAACCTGAAAATAACTATTGCAAGGATATATTTATAATAGTGAAATCTATAGAGGCAAGTCAAAGCACACCACCATCCATTCACTGATAAAATTACATAGAATTACATAGAACTTCGGACGGAAAAAAAAAACATTTTTGAAGTTACATATCCCTTAAATTATTAAACAATATTTTAAAAGAAACTAGTATGCTACACAACAGGATTCAGACTAACAGAGGGAGGGCTGAAGCTTGGAGACAATTAGGTTTGATGTAATGTATATCTGCTATTAAAGGGAACATGCTGTCAGCGGGATGACCTCAACACTCTGCTGCTGCTTCACTGTTCAAATAGCAGGCTAGTGGTGTGTACCCAAGGAAACTACTACTGCACTGAAGGTCAGGGATCTGGCTCTGGCTATGCTTTTTTGTAGGGATGTCTGGATCACAAAACAGATAATTTATTTATTTCTCCTGTTAGTTGAATTTTGTAAGATCCACAGGGATTAAAGCTATCTATCTCTGTGCACGCAACACAGACACACATACCCAATATAAATATATATATATATATA